GTGTAGCCAGTGTAACAGAAACAGAATTCGGTCGCTGAAAAAAAATTCAACGCAAGTATAAGATTTTGCATCAATGATTTCAGCTTGATTATACTTTGTTTAAAGGTAGATCCGTACTTGTGTAACATGTACTTGTAACATGTTATTGAAATTATGTTCGTGGAAAATATATAACATGTAACTAAAATGGGCAACGTTGATTTGCAACATGTTACAAGTCAATATTTTCCTGTTTCCGTTGTAAAAAATATAGTATCTGTTGATAGAGACTACAGTCAACATGTCTATTTAGAAAGCTGCTGCTGCATAAATTTATATTTCCTAAGCTTTAAAGCAAAACAAAGAAAATGTAGGTATTGACAAACACAATTATTTTCACACCGATCGATTTTTGGTGAAAATACATTTTTCACTGATTTAAGAATTCCATAATATATTCTTTAACACGGTACATTTCGATAAATTTTATACAGTATTGGTCAGATTACTTAAACATTATGTAAATCAAATTTTTTTTTTTTTTATAAAATTTTACTCTATAAGTAAATTATAGAAATCAACTACTTCCATTCGTCAATTACATCGTCAGTACCAATGTTTGTTTTATTTTTTTTCAAAATTTAGTTCATGAGCACGTATACAAAGGTCGTAACATGTTTGAGTAACATTCTTTGATGTTGCATCGAAATATCAAAAATCGTATGATCACCGGATTGTAACACAAATATGATATATTTGTTCATATATTCGTGAATATGATACAAAAACGCGATGCAATTTACATGTTGCAGTTGCATGAACACAAATGTGGACGCACCATTAAAATTCTCAAAGTTCAAAAAACTTTGTGATCAGATTAAAATTGGCTATAAAATTGAGATTAACTGAGCTTTTTTGAATTATTGTTAAATCTAACTAATTATTACAGACTTATAAAACAATTGGTGGTCGTTTCGTTAAACTAGATAAATATTATAATTTAATAAAATATTAACGGTACGAATCGAGCTCAGCATGAAGCTTTGTTTTGCGTGACCCATTGTGCTATTGCATTATATAACACCTATCATATAAAATGTTGAATTTATACTGACGTGTTGTTGTATTGAAGTAAACTATTCATGCATTCTATCAGTATTCGAGAATACATTGGTGATGTATTAACAATTTATATATTTCAGCCTTTCAATGATATAAAAAATTAATATTTTCAATGAAAAAAATTTCATTAATTGGTAGCTCCTGCTATTGATAATATGATTACGTTCTGAATGACATTTATTTGATATAAATTTTGATTATTAGATAGACACCTTAATTGTGAACGCATTATATTTAAATAATTAAGATTTAAGCTACTCATTATTTAATAACTGCGCTATGATCGTGTATTATTAGCAGCAGCATTTAGCTCTGTAATGATCGGCATAATTGGTTTATTGTTATATTAAACACGTAATGCATACAATTTAGTACATGTTAGCGAAAAAATTGAACAATTTATTAATAATATTATTACAATAATTTAAAATGTTAATTTAAATTCGTATCACTTGAAGATATATTGATTGGAATAAATTGAAATTAGAAGAAAAAATAGTTAAAGATATTTTTAAAATTGTCTTTTTTGTTGAATATTAAACATAGCAAGTATATAAGTTATTTAAAATCAGCAGTATCTGCATTTGTTTACAATACAATTTAAGTTTGATACAGTCTATATTGTAAATTGCTAAGTATATAAAATTAGTTTAATTTGATTAATACTTTGTCGTACTTATGTTATAAGGGTACAGTATAATGGTAAAAAAAATAAAAATATTTTTTAGTATTTATGTAAGTAGATATTTGTACATATTTTTAATTTTAATAAGTATATTAAACTAAATTTATCATTGTTGTACGCATTTTTTAATTAATCTTCTTCTCGTGTGGTCGACAAAACTCATATACCTATTTCTGACCAATATTTTATAAAATCGATTACTCTATCAGTCAATGTATTAAACAGATAATTTTTATTTTGTATATTATATGGTGCATTCGTGCATTTCAGTAGATGCTTGTCGTCCTGTATTTCTCCACAGTCACATCTTGGATTGTGATCAATGCCCCATTTTGCAAGATTTACCCGTGTGCGGGCTGTTCCTGTCCGTATGCGATTTAACGTTTTCCAATCTCGATATGGTAGTTGGTGTCCTGGGGGTAATGCTTCTTTAATCATGTCATGATTGGTTGATTCCTCTTTCCACTTTTCTAAGCGTTTGTCTACCGGTCTTTTTGTTAGTGGTTCACATACTCCAAGGAAGCTTTCTCTTGACTTGAGCCGTTTATGGGTTTCGTTCTTTCCTTTCTGGTATGCAATTTTCTCCTGAAGTGAGGTGGGGCGATTTCATTCGTTACGTATAATTTTGGTACTGGTATAGGTCTCAGGTATCCTGTTATTAAACGGGTCGCTTCATTCAATGGAATGTCTAATTTTTTTTGCATGTGCTGATCTTCTCCAGACTGGGTATGCATATTCCCTTGCTGAGAAACATAATACTAAAGTGGCGATCCGTGGTGTGAGGGTCTGCCCCCCATTTACTATCCATAAGCTTTCGTAGTATATTGTTTCTTGCACTTTGGTTTTCGTCTGTTCACAGTGTGTTTTGTACGTTAGGCTTCAATCTAAGTAGACTCTAAGGTACTTGGGGTGGTCACAGTGTTCAAGGTCTACGCCATTCCATTTGATCATAAGCTTTTTTTTTGCATCTCGGTTTCTTAAGTGGAAAGCATAGACCTGAGTTTTGGTCGGATTGGGTTTCAGACGGTTGTGTAGTAGTATCTGGTCAGCTCTTCTAGGGTTTTTTTAAGTGCATTTTCGACTATTTCAAATTTTAGTTCTTGTGCTGTTAGAGCAAGGTCGTCAGCATATATGAAATGCTTTGTTCTATCACAAATTGGTTGGTCGTTCGTATACATGTTAAATAACATTGGCGCTAGTACACTCCCTTGCGGGAGGCCGTTTCTCTAAGTCTTCCATTTACTTTTATTCCCATTCAGGTTAATATAGAATCGTCTATCTTTTAGTAACATATCTATTATACAGACAAATGAGGGATCTTTGGTCATTTCGTAAATTTTTCTGCGTAGTATCCCGTGGTTTACCGTGTCGTATGCCGCAGATAAGTCGATAAAAATAGCACCCGTAATCATCTTTCCCTCAAAGCCATTCTCTATGTGTTGTGTCATGTTAAGGACTTGACTGGTGCATGATTTCCCGGCTCTGAAACCTGCTTGCTCCTGAATAATATTTACATCGATAGTAGTTTTATTCTATTCATAACTACTCGCTCGAATAGTTTATACATATGGCATAGCAGTGATATGGGGCGGTAGCTTTTTGCTTCATCTGGGTTCTTGCTAGGTTTTAGTAATGTTATAACCTGTGCTTGTCTCCATGGTTTTGGTATTTTTTTTGAGGCGTATGCAGTTGAAGAGTTTAATAATAGTAGTACTCGTTCCAGTCACAAATGAAATGAATTAAAATTTCAGAGGGAGGGTAATGCTTGGAAAACATCCAAACTCAAGGGCGCCCACATGGGAGGAAAAGGAGGGACATTTCCCCCCCTAGAAAATTTCAAAAATCTTGAAAAATTGTTTACTATGATCAGAATATATTTAAATAGAATTAAAAAAATTTAATTTAATATATGAAAATCTATAATTTGTTTATGAAAAATCTATTTATTTAGTTTGGAAAATCAGGTTATCAGCTATAAATAACAATTTTTCGTTTCTATTCTATGGATTATTATCAATTTTTAAAAAAAAATTGTCTGTTTCCAGAAACAGTATGTAATCAGTGCCGCAACTATAAAATAGGAGGCCTGTTTGCGGTAATTATATTGGGCCTTTTCTTAGGATTTATTTTTGTTCAATTTAAGTATCAATTTTTTTAAGGTTTTAAAGCACGTTTTACATCAGTTAGTTCAGTGGTCTTCAACTGGTGGGTCACAACCTAATTTAGGGTCGCGTAAGATTTAAGATTGGGTCAATGATAAGTTTTCTGTTTAAAATTTAAAAAATTCATATATATATATATATATATATATATATATATATACAGGGTGATTTTTTTTATCGTGAACCAGTTAATATCTAGAGAAGTATTAGGAATTTTAAAATAATTTTTTTTTTAAACTTTCTATGTTTTACTATTTTACACTGTGTTACAATTTTAATAATTTTAACTTCCTCCCTTATTTGATAAAACACTATCAACTTTTGATTTTCAAATGGTAATACCTATTTTCGATAACGAAAATTTATAAACATACTGAAAAAAATAATTTTAACGTTTACAGAATTTAATTTCAGTAATCCGTTTGCGACTTACCGTTTAAATATTCGTTCAATTTACTGCTACTGTGCAATTTATCAAACCCAACGGTAAAAACCAAAAGTCAAAACGGAATGATATGTCAATTTAACAATACCCATAACGGTCATAATCGATAATAACTCTTAAGTACCTAACAAGATAGATAAACTATACTGTTGAAAAAAAAATGTTCTATCAAAACTCCAACCAGAATACCTTGTGTTAGTGAGTGACTAGCTTGCAGCAGCGCTGTATAAGCTATAAAGTACAAAAATAACATATTACAATTTACCATCATGGTTACATAATATATCACTGATTACCGATTCATGGTATACGGTATTATCAAGTATTATCTTAGTAGATAAACGATAATAAATGCCAGTTAACTGTTTCCTAAAACATGTGGTTATTGGTATATCGTTAATGTTAGTTTTCCATTATCCAACATCGAATAAAAATTATTAACTAATTATTATTTTTTGAACGTTTAACCACAGAATACGTTTTAAGTAAATACTAAATTGTGTATATTATTTAAAATATACATTTAAGGTTTATACCAATTATTTCAATGCATATTATATTTTTTGACAGTGTTATTTTAAAAAAATTGAATTTAATTAAAAATATACATTTATCCAATCAGCAATATGTATTATTACGTGTATGACAATTCGATTTCATATTTTGTCGACAACTTTTTTTATATAATTTATTGGTAAGTTCAATCTAAAATTAATAAATTTAATAAATTAAATCATTTAGTTAATAAATTAATAATTAATACATTTTTTTTTTATTTAATGATTTATGTTTAATATTATTAGAAAATAATTACCAGGGTTCATACATTTTAATTCTAATTCAGTGGTATTTTGTATTATAAGTGTAATTAGTCAAAAATAACAGTGAACTATATGACTAGACACCTCAATTTGACCAGCAATTAATGTAAATTCATACTGCTTTCTACTGGTACCTATCTGATAACTATAAATTAATATATAAAATAAAATTGGAATAAAGGAATAAAATATACATGTTACATATGTATATCTATATTATATTATATTTTAATTTTTCAACAAGCTAAACAAAAAATTATGTAATTAAATTTTTTTTTTTTATAAATTATAACCAGGGTTAAAATATTTTATTGTATTTCAGTGGCAATTGGTAGAATTTATATAATTAATCAAAGAATGCAGTGAACTATATGATTAGACAGCTAATTTGACCAGCAATTAATGCATATTCACATTGCTTGCTACTAGTATCTTTTAAACAAACTAAACAATCTATTATGTAAGTATGAATTTTTTTATAAAATAAATAAAGTGATGTTCATCATAATTTTTGTTTATTTTTTAGGAAATTAATTTTGTTTTCTTTCAAATTTCAATTGCATTTAGAAGTACTAACTTAAATTCAAATATCTATAACAAGATTGGAAGAACAAATACAAATTGTTATTTTGGTTAGTTTTAGCATAGTACATCTCACCTGATAACTTAATAAGTATGTATACATTTTTTTTATATATAGAATATATCAATTCTATAAATAATTTAATGTTTTTTTTTAGTTGTATTCTGACTAAAAAAACAGTACAGCATCAAGATTAACTAACTACTTCTACATTTGTAAAAATTGTTGACAATCACATTAATAGTTAATCTTAATTGTATGTTTAAATAATTTGTTTAAGTTATTGGTACATACCATAATTAGGGCGATGTAGTTTTTATTAATCTAAATTGGCAAATAAAGGTTTTTTTTTTAATATGAGTATCATTTTCATGGAATATTTAAAGATTCTTTACCGTAAAATATTAATTAAAAATTAAAATAATTTCAAAAATAAGTGTAAAAATTAATAATTTTTTAAAACATCCATAGCCCTAAAAATATGTTGTACCCTAGAGCATATACTGTAAAGTATGTTGAATGTTCATTCAATTTTTATTAATTTATCTAGGGTAGTGGACATGTTAAGTGTTAATATTTTTTTATTAGGCATGACCTTACCTAAATCCTGCGAAATTTGCACTACGGAAATTTGTTCATGCTTTAGTAAAATTATTGATAGCTAATGTGTTTATTGCCTTTGATAATTTAGTATTGAATTAATGTCCATTATTTGGTCTATTCACGCACAAGATAGTTTTAATATAAAATGCAAATCATACATTATACAAAAATTATATCCCAGAATACCTTATAATTATAAATGGAAAGACGTGTAGGCAAAATGTATACAACCTTGCATCAGAAAAAAAAGGACTCAAATTCCTCGATGCACATAACATTGTAGTACTAGTCTGATATAAGTTATTTGTCATGTTACTTAATTTGTGCAATTAAAATAACTTACCTATTCTATTATTTTTTTTTTTTAGTATACATAGATTGATTTGTAATTATTTATTTTTAATGAAAAGAAAACTTTAAATGAGAGGGACATTGTAAAAATGTATAATTAAAAAAAAAAAAGAAATGTGTTAATAGATCATTAACTACTTTAGTCTTAGCTCTATACCTCGAATCCAAGTATATACTATGTCATATACATTTATATTTGCATATTTATGAATTATTTTTCTAAATACATAGGAATTGTCGGTTTACTTTGTTTTAAAATGAATAAATGTTATTTTTTTAATATAATCATTTACTATAGTAATTAAAATACAACATATTGTTTTAAAAAAAAAATATTTATTTTGTAATTTACTAATTCTAACTCATCAATCTAATATAAAAAAAATAAATTGTATTAAATTAATAAATATGTATTCATAGGCGGCTCTACGGGGTGTGCCTTGGCACACCCTAATGTGAATAATATATATAAGAATATTGAATAACTAATGTTAAGAATATATGTGCATACACATTAATTGAATTTTAGTTTTTTGTAAGTTATACTGCAGAAGGGCGATTTGATAAGGGTGGCGAAGTGGGCATTCGTTCCACCATGTTTCGTATTTTTTTTGAATGTAGTACATAGATTTAATTAAAAAATTTAATGTATAATTATTTAAGAATATAAATTACTAGTCTATCACTATAGTATGATGATAAATTCAATAATATAATTTGTCAATTAGGTCACAGGTATCATTTTTATTTATCTTCTTATATCTTAACATTTTTGGTTGTGGAACGAATAGTGGTATTATTTTCCACAGATATTGTTACGGTTATAGACATTTATAACCATAACCGAGGTATTTATGAGATAATGTAAAGTAACACTTATTTTACCACATATTTACTAGTTAGTCATTTTTTGATGCATTTATGCATATTGTATATTTTTGTATTTATTAGAGCTGTATAAGTCCTTAATAATTTTACTCATCTAATTTTTTTTTTACAACATAACATCTGGTACTTTTTGTTGTGCATAGGTATTTAGTCATTTTTTTTGTGAACAAATGCATGCACATTTATATATTTTATAAAGCTAGAAGTTCCTAACCCAAATAATAATTATTACTCCAATTTTAAAATCAGGTTGCCGTTCATTAGTCACTAATTACAGACCAATTTCTATTTTAGGGCATATTTCTAAGTTCTTTGAGTCATTAGTCTTAGACGCAATTCAGCCTTCTGTAAATTTGATCTTAGCCGATGAACAGCATGGTTTCCGTCCTGGCAGATCAACGGTTACTTGTAATCTTGTTTTCTACAATTACATATTCGGATCTTTTAAAAATGGAACACAGGTTGATGTCATATTTACCGACTCTGCTAAGGCGTTTGACTCCGTTAACCATGAGGTATTAATCTCTGTTCTTCGTGCTACTGGATTTGGGGATCCTCTCCTATCTTGGTTCAATTCATTTTTAGTAAATATATCTCAATGGGTTAATTTGTTCAGCACTAAATCTGACGCATTTTTATCTCCCTCAGGCGTTCCCCAGGGAGGACATCTATCACCTCTTCTATTCTCTTTGTTTGTTAACAGTGCTAGCTCCTCTCTCAAACATAGCAAACTTCTTTGTTTTGCCGACGATATGAAGATTTTCCTCGAAATTAACTCCGTCGATGATTGTCACAAACTCCAGGATGATTTAAATAATTTCTCTGCATGGGCTGAATCTCTCGGTCTCACATTAAATATTGAAAAGTGCCGATCGATGACATTCACAAGAGTCGCACTCCTATTACTCATCATTACTCATTGAATGGCTCTAATTTGATTCCAGCTGACTCTAGCATCAGTGATCTCGGTTTTACTTTTACTCCCTCTCTTTGTCCTAGAGCTCACATTGACAGAGTTACATGCAAAGCCCTTAAGGTATTAGGATTCGTCAAAAGAATATCTAGTGACTTTAAGCTCTCCGCTTCCCTCAAAGCAATATATTGTGCACTTGTACGTCCAATCGTAGAATACGGCTCAGTTGTATGGGATCCCCAAACAACTGATGCTTGTCTTCAACTAGAACGGGTTCAGCGAAAATTTTTATGTTACATGAAACATTCTCTTAACGTAAACTGCGCCCCTCATGATTATACTTCTCTTATCAGTTTGCTTAACTTATCCTCCCTAGCTGACCGTCGTCGCTTCAATAATCTCTCTTTCCTTAACAAACTCCTAACAGGTTGGTCGATTCCCCATCCCTTCTTTCTCTCATTAACTTTAGAGTCCCTGTTAGATCCACCCGCAATAATCATCCTTTCTTAATACCTCTCTGCACTAGAAACTATCTAAAAAATGAACCTATTATAAGATTAATGAAATTAGTCAATGAGGATCCGTTGTTCCTTTAATAGTTTTACTTTTGTATTCATTGTTTAGTAATTTATATTTTATATTTTATACTTTGTTGTATTATTCATGTTATGTTATTGTTTGATTGTATTGTACACCTAATTATTTTAACCTGGGCTCACGCCCGTTTATTCAATAAATAAATAAATAAATAAATAATCATAATTGACAATATGCCAAAATGTAAAAAAGAAATTTGGAATTTGTTATTTGACTACTTACCAACCTTTTGTTTTCTACTTAGATACTTGTTAAATTAAGCTACCTATCTTAATTGGTTTTTAAAGTTTTTTAGGTACTATTACTACTATGATAATTTGTTGTTTTTTTATACAGGATTCAGACTGAAGGTACAATTTTAATATAAGAACTATTTGTGTTTTTATTATTAATACTTATTTTATGTGCAGTAGGTTTTAAATACATTTATCTAGAGGTGTTAAAATACGGTATTTTATTTATTTTTTGTATAATACCGTATTATACTAGTATTATACCGTATAGAACCTTGCAGTACCTTAAATTATAAGGAATTCAACAAAGCACATTGTTAATTATGAGATATAAATTATTTTAAAATGGAATAATTGAAAAAAATGGATAAAAAGTTAAAAAAAATTAAAAAAAATAATACAAAAATTATTCACCAAATTAATATTTGGTCTTGCTATCGATTTGCAATTATGATATAGGTAACATACGTATGTATTTTATACATAGAAATATATATTTTTCAAATAGAAATAAAGAGACTTACTACTTTTATAGTTATATACTATCTCATTGTACCTATATATTTACAATATTTGAATATTATAATAGTACAATAAATTTATTTTAGTCATTTTTAACACCTGAATTCTAAATTAACACGATTACAATAATATTGTATATTTTTAATGTTTATAATAATACTGTTCTTTATTGGAGATCCATTTTATAAGTATAACTGAAAAATTAATAGTTGAGTTACTAAAAATAACGCTTTCATTTTTTTTTTTTATACTGTCTATATAAAATAATTTTATACCATTTGTATAATACCTTGTATAATACAGTTTTATACCACTGTATAATACAAACTCACTACACTACATTTATTAAATAAATATTTAATTCGATTTAGTACTTGTATTTTTATTTATTCACTCAAATGAACAACAGGAACATGAGCTATAGGTAATGAACCAAAGGCGTACCCAGGAATTTTTTTAGGGGGGTTCAAAATTTTTATTTATCTGTTTTCCAATTATAATTATAGTTTAATTCAATACCAACTAATTACTGTTAATAACTATAGTAATAGTCACAATTGTTATATACACATCACACATATTCTTCACAAAGGTTTACTATAATAGGTAGGTACTATAATTTGATATCAATTTTTATTTGGTAGTAAAATGTTATAAAAAATACATTACAAAAAAAAAAAAAATAATATTAAAAAAGCAGTATAAATTAAACATGGTTTATACATTATAGTTATATTAAATAATCTATAAAATTTGAAGATAATGAGAAATTAAAATACACTATACACTATTTACTATTAAACCATTGAGTATGCAGAAATTCCAATGGGGGTCCAGCGTATCCTAGCGTATAGCTTGTAATTTGACAAATATAAATAGTAAAGTAAATTTTTTGTTATATTTATGACGTGATTCGGTATCGGATATATTATTATTTTTCTATTTTTTTTTTTTTTATGAAAAATTCAAATTTGTTTTCATTTAACAAGTTTTCATTAGAAAAGTGGGATCCCAAAGACTATGTGAATTCGAGGATGATAAATCATAGATCAGCAGAAGACAATAGATGTAAATTAATGTCACCCAGATGTAGATCCGAATAGTGAAAACAAAACAAGTCTTTGAAGAATACTGACGTAAAAAAAAAGTAACCATGATCTATTTTTTTTTGATTACATTTTCTTATCAATGTGACAGTAATAAACGTGATATAAAATATAAGCGGAGCCTGTAATTTTTTGTACGTCA